CTTTCCTCTATGTGCATATGCCTTTCACTAGTTCAATCTTCTCATTGTCAAGTTCATATGTGTTGTAATGTTCCCGCTCATACTTAGTTGATATTTCCTCCATGTGCATGTGCCTTTCACTAGTTCTAGCTTCTCATTGTCAAGTTCATGTGTGGTGTGATGTTCCGGTTCATACTTAGTTGATATTTCCATGTGCACATACTTTTCACTAGCTCAACCTTCTCATTATCAAGTTCATGTATCATTGAAGTGTTCTGGTTCATGTGTAGTTGATCTTTCGCTATGGGATGGGTGACAGACATTTGGTTGTTACTACTATGGGATGGGTGACCGACGTTTGGCTGCTACTACGGGGTGATGATTTGATTAGGATTAGAAATATCTTCTCTCTCTCTCTCTCTCTCTTTGGAGCACAACAGAAAAATTCCCACGAGAAACGGAAGTTCAAAAAACATTCCATAAAAAAAAAAATCCTTCATATTTTAAATAGTATCATTCCAATATTCGTCAAATTCTAAAATTTTCAGTTTTCTTTCATCAGTTCTTGTCCAAATATGTGCTTCCCCTTCCAACTACATCTATCTGTTCAAGATGGAATGAAAGTCTAGACGAGTTTATAAAATGTTTTAATTAAAATGTTTTAATTAAATTTTCATTCTACTACAACAAGTATCTTCTAATTTAGATTGGATTAACCTATTTATAACTGAAAATCCTCACTTAGAATGACAATCCAATTAAAATATTTCATGAACTCATCCAAATTCTCATTCCATCTCTAGCATGCATTCCAAATAAGAAGGGATACCCTCTTCTTGGAATGAAAGTTTGCAAGTAAGATTAAAAAAATTAAAATTGGAATAACATTTTTTAAGATAAAATAAAAATTTTAAATTTAGATTGTAATTTTACTATAGAATGATTATTTAATTTTGAAAATTTTTTCTGTTGCAGTTTTCATTAAATCTTCTTTTGTGAAACACCGATCTTCTTGAGGATCAGTATGATGTCTGAACCACACTCGATACTGCATATGCGGTTGCGGAGGGCGTCCCCTTCTTAGAGGCTTGGGCACCGATATCAGCTTGTACTCGGCGATGACGTCGATCTCCACGTGTTCGTCCATGGTTGGGGGCAGTGTGACGCCCAACCTCACGCCCAACGCGACTTCCTGATCGGAGTGGGATGGGGGCCCGGAAGTGCGAAAAAAGGGGTGTGCCAAAGACTTTAGGAAAGTGGGGGTGGAGTCCTAGGTCCGAACTGAGATCTCCTATGGCTAGTTTCGGGGGTGAAAGCGCAAGAGGGTAGATGCGGGTCGTACTTGGCGCTTTAGTTTTCATAAGAAGTTAGGCAGGCCACCTTTCGTGGTTCGTGCACGGAAGGAAAGCCGCAGATGTCGAGCAGCATAACACAGATGACATGCGCAGTGCATCCCTGACCAAAGATCCCGGGGTACTTCTCCACAATCACAGTACCAACAGCTCTAAATACTCTTGCATTCTCGAACAGAATCCCAACAACATTGCCCCTGCCAACGTACTCAATTTTCAAGCCTAAAAATGAAAACCACCATCTCCTCTGGTTTCGCCTTCATGGTTGGTCGCACGGTTCGACCAGTTGTCGGCGCCGCTCGATTTCGATTCGGTTTCGTCGAGCTATTTCCGATGCTCGATATGTCTAGTGTTGCCGACACTTTTCGCACGGTATGCACGGCCAATAGTTGTTGTACCCTATTTCCATCCTACAAGCTAGCCCCCTAGTAGGATGCCTGATATCCCACCATTTCCCGTAAGGCTTTAATTTTTTCCGGATTGCGGGATGCGAAACCATTCACATTGATTGATCTGATATCCAGGTTTGCTCGCTGCAGGGTGTGTTTCCACTTTTTATTCCTTCCGTACACTATCATGTCTACCCACTCCATCATGACTATCTAACTTTTGGACAGCTGTGACCATAGCGGAGATGGTGACTCTGCTGCAGTAAGTCTTGCCGGAGTGAGGTAAAGAGGCCTGTTGGGGGGTCGGGGTTCTGAGTCGGTTGTTCTTAGCCGAAGCCAGGTAATGGCCTTGGTATCTCAAAATAGGAGGGAAGGGGGGGAGCTAGAACTGGAGGATGGAAGACAGTAAGGGGTCTCTTAACAGAGGAAGGTTGTTGGTTAGTTAAGTACGTTAGAAGGACGATGCTGGGACAACACAGGCCGGTGCTGGGGCTTTTGCTCTGTGACCCAGGGGGAGCTTGAGGCCTGTGGAGTTATGCCAAGGGTGGAAGGCATAACCAGACCGTTCTACATGGTCGACGCCGAGGTATTAACCCTGTAACCTGGGTCAGGGGCTTGCCGCTAAGGGAAATGTCGAGGGAGGAAGGCACTTCCTGTCCGTCAGAACTAGGCTGGTCAGTACTGGGGAAGGTTGTGGTGCCCTGTTACCTTAGCAGAAGGGGGTATGAAATCAAGTTAGTTCTGGTACAAGGACTGAAAACCTGGACCGACATGCCGTCTGTTGAAAGGGGGAGTTTTGGATAGTGGGCGTTTCAGTTTTCACCCCCCCGCTCTCATGTTTTCCAAGCTTTTTTCAGAATTTTTCTGAACTTTAGCCTATCTCATGAGGAAAGTCTTGATAATGCTTTGGGATTCTGGGCACTTCTTGCAACTCATTTTAGGTTTTTCTAATGCTGTTATATTCATGGATCTGCGTTTTTTCGATGCCAGAACGACGCTGGCCGGAGCTGGGGGGTTACCCTATAACCTGTTGATAGCAGGAGCGAGAGGCCTGGTAGAGAGATCTGGGGATGCCTTGGGCCGGGCATTCTAAGGGAAAACCAAGGTTTGCTGTTGCCTTTTTGGCTTAGTAAGTGCTAATTGAGTAGCCTAGCAATAGGTTAGCAGTTACCCATGTCTTTTCCTAAATTTTCTAGAATCTCTTGAAAGATCTCAGATTGTTCCTAGCCGAAGCCAGGTAATGGCCCTGGTATTTCAAATCGTTTGTACAATTCTATATGGGACGCTGGGCCCAGTTCCCAGCACGTGTTGCTCCCCACGAATAGACTGGAGCATTTGTCCCCCCCCCAAAAAAAAAAAGAAAAAAAAAAAAAGAAAGATAAGACGATCTAAATCAAGAAAAGATGGACGCTGACATCGAAGATTCAGAAGATATAGTCCGTGGTAATTGAAAAAATGATGATGATACTCGGGGGACAAATTATCATGATAATTACAGGATAAGCGAGGAGAAGAAAGACAATGATATTCATGAGTCTAAAGTTCCAAGAACATACGAGGGGAAGGTGAGGGAAGGGAAGAGAGATGATGATATGGAAGAAGCTGCCTATATAGAATGTTGTGAACAGAAGGTTGATGATGACAATCAGGGCATTAATGGGAAGAAAACTGAGGACGAAATTCAAGAGTTCGGCGGGAAACTCCGTGGAGATCAAAAGATCACAAGTTGAGGAGAAGAACGTGAATGTCATCAATGATATGGGCAGTCTTGATACAGCTTCCATTCAAAATATTTCGAAGAAGATTGGTAAGAGCGAGAGAGATTTTGCGATAGTGGAAATGAACGGTGCTGATTGCCACCCTACCCAGCAATCTGAAGTAGCCCAGATTTATGGATCGGGTGGGTGGAATCAAGACGTAGCACAGCCATGGACGTCATCACGAAGACAAAGTCACAATCACTTCTCACACAAGAGAACAAAAGCAAGGCGAACTGTAGTAAACACGAGGATGGACAAAGATGGTGTAGTCTGGCGCTGTCAGGATCGGAAAGTCCCGTGGGGTAAACAGAGA